AGAGAGAGAGAGAGAGAGAGAGAGAGAGAGAGAGAGTCAAATGATTTTTGTTAATTTATGTGCACTTAAAAGATACTAAATAAACATCTATCATGATCATCAATAGTACCATGATCATCAGCAATAAATGACCCTATGTACACGTATAGCCTGTGTAACTGGTTAGGTGCAGGTGTAACTATCAATACACATGACTACATATGAACTATAGTATTAAAGCATATAAATATATTTATTTTAATAATTAATCGCTTATTTTATTGTATAAGTGCAAGGTCAAGTATATGTTGTGTACCATACATAAGGGATTCCGGGGCACAGCCATTGAAATACATGGCATACATACATACACTCGCAGTCTCTTTCACTCACTCTCTCGCTCTCACTCTGTCTTAACATTCACTTCGCTATTGAATAACAAGAATTTTTATATGTTTTTGAGTCGATGTGCACTTAAAAACTTACTAAAAGTGTCTGTTATTCACTGTATATACTGTATATCTCGTATGCGTACACTATATGAACACACTGTATGGTACAGTACAGTGCGTACGACGACTACTGCCAATAGTGTACCCAACGATATAAATTTATTACACATTTAGTAAAGACAGTTAATTATGTTCGTAAGCGTATGTGCGAACACACATCCCATACACTCATCTATAATAAGTTAATATCAGTCCATCATATCATTTGCTAATAACCGTTGTGTGCATACATACGGGTGCTGTACTCTCGTCTAGAGATCGTTGCATTTAATAAAGTGATATTCACTAAACAGTTTAACTATTTGTTTAAAAAAAGTTATTCTATATAGATAAAAATTTTAATTTTAATATTCTGTGTTTAATAAGTTTATTTAACTTAATTTAATTCAACTTGTGCACTTTATTGAAACCCCAAACAGAATTCATATGCCTATTGTGTTTGTAAATCAATCCCAACACCACCAACACGTTCAACATCAGGCACCGCCACCGCCAACAGCGCCGGCACCGCAACCGCCACTAATACTACGACAACAACTATTACAACAACAGCCGTCGCGACACCAATACTATCCCAACGACCAGACCATTAGTGCCAATAAGACATCAATGGAGGCCATCAAGATATGTGTGGTCTGCGGGGATCGGGCTAACGGTACGTGTCCTACAATTGCTACCATCATTCACTGCCCTTTTTACCATAATCTAACACTTTTCATATGACTTTCCCTCTTTAAAAAACCGCAAAATTTTACTTTTACTTCTGTGTATTGATAATTATGTTTATTTATTTTTTCTCTCAAACATTATTTAGGCTATAATTTCAATGTAATCGCTTGTGAGTCGTGTAAAGCCTTCTTTCGACGAAACGCGTTGAGGAAAAAGGTTTGAAAAACATTTATTTAAATATTTTATAATGTATTTTATGTATATTTTGTGTGAATATTTTGTATGTATTATTGGTGTTAATTGTGTGGCCTTACAGTGCCTTACAGTGTATGTGCGCGGAGGGGCGCACAGGAAGGCCAGGAGAGTCGGCACACAGGGGGGGTCTATATCTATCGGAAATGTTTAAGCTAGTTTGCGAACTGTTATAATCAAAGTACTTTAGCATGTATTATGTGTGCACTAGATAACCTAATTTACAATCGTATAATACACACACTGTTCATAAATATATTGATATCACTATGATGTACTATTAAATAGACGGTTAGTTAGTTAAGGGGAGGGCTCGCGGGGGGCGAGTGAACTAAATTAGTACATTAGTTACTAGCGCTAGATATACATGTATATTCTATAATACTATGTACTGTACTTCTAATCGGAATAACTTATGCATAAAAGTACCAGAAAGTGCCATAAGTATCGCATTAACATGGTACACGCAAATTAGAGAGCTATTTTTTTTACTTGCAGTTTAATTGTTTTAGATTAGATTTAGTGCAAAGTGCATAAATTAATTCATAAACTAATTAATCATGTATTATTTTTCTCGCACAGGACTTCAAGTGTCCGTTCAATGGCAACTGTAAGATCGATGCCATCACCAGAAAGTTTTGCCAGAAATGCCGATTACAGAAGTGCTTCAACAGTGGTATGAAAAAAGTGAGTACACATGCACTTTACATACATGTATATACTATTTTCCCTGTGCTAATGATGTCGGTGCTGGTTGTGGTGGTACTGGTGCTGGTGTTGGTAGTGCTGGTACTCTCGTAGACAGAATTATGCTATATATTTATTGATGGTTTATAACTTTAAGTGCATGTTATATATGCACATGTACATTCATATTGTTACCCAGAGTACATTGACAATGTAACAATGTACATTGCATATTTGTTCAGTGATGTGAGTGCAAGCAAACAATATCCGCCGACACCAGTACACCCATTGCACCATTGCATACCACT